GAAAGTGGCGTGTATGTTTACGCAAAAGTCATGATGTCATGTTGCCTTCTGTCTATACGGTAATTCCTCTACTGTGCGACAGAGAGTCGATTCGTTTTGACGCAATCGTTAGCTTATTTTTACAAAAACTGCTTCTACAGGGCCATAACGTAATATACAAGGTAATGGAGCCTTTTATACATTGTCGTGTTTCTTTAGAAATAAATAATGGACAAATGGAGTCTTTAAACGCCTCAGATGTAAAGCTATTCGCTATCAAAATGACGCCAAAATGAATGGGAGTCAATGGAACGCTAACAGCAGGTGAAGTTCTGCTACAATGGCGGCTCCCGGTTTGGCTTCAACTTCCGGTCGATGGATTACCCCATTGGTTAATTTTCATGAGGGCACATGAATAAGAATAATATATATATAAATAATTTATAATAAGTGCAATATTTTACATTATTTTGGATTCATGATGATTAAGTATGTTTTATAGCCATTCCGAGGCTTCGTGAATGAACTGATAGCATCTGTTCAACCAATGGCATGAGTTTGGGGCGGGGCTATCTGAACCAATGGCAGATGAGAATACAGGTTTAACTTTTGCAATTAATTTTGGAGACAAGTTTTCAAACCTATTACCCTTTTAAAAATGTACCATGGTTACCATAGTTTTAGCCAAAAAACAAGTAATACTACAGCTAGCTACTGTTACTACTTTAATTCAAAATTAAAATTCTTCTTCAATGTTTGAGAAGCTAATTCTGTAGAAACAATAACTAGTATGATAAATGCAATGTGTGTACTACAATGACCCATTAGGGGGAGCCCTCCACCCACAGCCAAAGGGGGAGGAGAATGTGTGTATAAGATACTTCCGTACTCAACTTTACTCTGGATGAAGGCTGTTTTATCTCAAACACCCTTGGCAAAGCCAAACCCATTTGTCTGAGGAGGTTATTTTCTATGTGCTAACTGAAAGGTAAAATGCATTTCTGCGATAAGCTTCTCCATCCTACTCCACCCAGTGTTTGTTGTACAAACTTCGGCACTAATGAGTACACACCCACAGCCTCACAAACACACACACTGTGGGCTGTGGCTTGCTGCCAGCAATGGCAGAGTTCTCTAACGCTACCCCCATGTTTGTGTGACTCACCACTCAGGCATCTTGTTTGAACACTCCCACCAGCCAGGAAACAAACACACACATTCATCTAACCCCCTAACACACATTTCCTGTCCACATCTATCATACGTGCAATATAATATTACATTACATTTACATCCATGTCAATATAAACATGCTAATGCTAACATTTTATGCTAATGCTAATCATGCATTTATCTCTACAATAGTATTGACTACATTGATGAATATCTGCAAATATATGCTGTAGAACATGTTACTTTTAATTACACATTGGGGGATATCGGGTTCTTCATTTGTGTGTCAACATTTGACAGTCAGTATGTGTGAAGGGTGGTAGACATTGTTTTGCTTAGATTTAAGCTGTAGGATCACCCAAACTGCAGTGAAGCACAAATGAATCTTTTGACATTCGTTATCGTGTTCAAGCATGCACAAACATACACACCCAGGCCCGTACAGTGCATACTCACCTAGAGCCCCCTGGCAAATATCTGTCCGAGTGGCTCCACCAACTATAAACTGAGGATTGTTCGACAGCTCCTGCAAACATTACGCAAGCAAATACACCTCAGCCAAAGTGTGATACTCTCCCTGTCAACCTAATAACACACTTTACACATGATTACATATCAACCATATGCAATTTCTGTCTTTAATATGTGACATGCAAACAAGTCTATACATACAGTATACTGGATACTATCAGTTTGCCTGTGAAAATATTGTTTGAGTTTTGACATGAGATACACAGGCCGAGACAAATATAACACTCCTTGATGATTCAATGAAGAAATTATATTACTTGCTGCTTGTATGAAGAACTTTAACAATTTAAATTAGGGCTGTCAAACGATTAATCACATCCAAAATAAAAGTTTGTGTTTACATAATATATGTGGGTGCACTGTGTATAATTATTTTATATATATAAATACACACACATGCTTGTATATTTTAAAAAAAATATTTTCATGTTTATACTGCATATAGATTTATATATAATTTATATTATATATAAATATTTTATTTATATTTTCTAAAATATACATGCATGTGTGTGTATTTATATATTTACAAAATAATTATACACAGTGCACCCACATATATTATGTAAACACAAACTTTTATTTTGGATGCGATTAATCGCGATTAATCGTTTGACAGCCCTAATTTAAATAAATGAATTAAATGTTTCAGCATATATACCTATATATATTTCCTTTCCTTTTTTTATAGAATAGAGGGAAAATTTGGAAAAACCAGATGTTGTATCTTAGTTCTCAGGTAGGATATGAGAGTTCGAGTCTAGCTCAGTCTTTTTGCTCCCACTGAAACAAAATAAAAGCGTGTTCCCTCAGTGACTATCCAGATGTATGTGGTTTCTACGTTTACGTTTTTCTGCGACACTCACAGTGGGTCTTATCCACTTCACACCGCGTGTTTTGGAGGAGTTTGGCGCAAGCTCCTTGAAGCCCAGTGACTGGGGCACGGCGGGAAAGCAGGAGTCCTCAAACAGCCTGCCGCTCTCCACACACTCTCTCTTCAGCTCCTCGTAGTCCTGGTTCAGGAACTTGGCCGCATTGTCATTGCTTCCCATCCCTTCAGCCTGCAAGCGCTCCTTGTAGATACGCGACGACATTCCTCCAATTGAAAACATACTGTAGTGCACCAAAATAAGGTAGTCATTTAAACATAAAGTAGATCCCATCCCATATTGTTCCAAACCCGTCTCCATTTACTTTCAATATGTGACCCTGGACCACAAAACCAATCACATGGGTCATTTTTAAAAGAAATTGAGATCTAAACATCATCTGAAAGCTGAATACATACATTTTCCATTGATGTGTCTTAGGATAGGATAATATTTACCCGAGATATATGAAAATCTGGAATCTGAGGGTGCAAAAAAATCTAAACATTGAAAAAAAAATCGCCTTTAAAGTTGTCCATTTATGTTCTTGATTGTGCTGCATTCACTCACAAAAATACATTTTTTATATATTTACGGTAGAAAATTTACAAAATATCTTCATGGAACATGATCTTTCCTTAATATCCTAATGATTTTTGCCATAAAAGAAAAATCGATCATTTTGACCCATACAATGTATTGTTGGCTATTGCCACAGAATGATACCTGGTTTTGTGATCCAGGGTCATATGGAAAAGACATGCACTTTCATCAACATTAAAAGTACAGGTTTCGAACAACAGGGACAGTAAATTACAGAATTGCTTTTTTTAGTGAACTATCGCTTTAAAATGATGATAGCTTATGCCTCGCTGCAGGAATCAAACCAGCAACCGCCTGATCACAAGACCTACACCAAACAAAACAAAAGTGTGTGCATATGGTAGTTGGAGACTAGAAGCTAGCAAAGGAATAGCACGTGTTCAATGTCTCTGAGCGTTTAGCACAAAGTGCTGCAGCTAAAAGCATATGATGCTTGCTTATGTTCGCTTATGGTCACCCACTTTGCCATTATTAGTGCAGCAGCATTCATGCGGCTTTTAGTCCAGGGTGCTGAGAGAAATGCCCTCTACAAATGACACTCGATTACTAGCCTTACTGAGGGTGGAGAGAGGTTTACTAATGACTGGCTAATTTCATGAGGTCTTGTAATAGGGTTAGCTCTGCAGATTTCCAGACCCTGTTTACCATGATTTCATGGACAATGCAACGTACATGGAGGGCAGTTCTCTAAGCTTTAGCTAAAGGAAAACCCAGCTGAGATAACTCAGTCCTTAATTTAAACTAGTACTACAGAGAGACAAGATGGTGAATATACCTTCAGTTCCTTGTGAGGGCCGTGGGCTTGAGGAGAAAAGGGTCATTTAGAAATATATTGATCAGAAAGAGTAATCAGTTCATAGCTAATTTGCTACCACACGATGAATTCATGTTATGGTACTTTGGTTGTTACATGGCAAGTAGCCTAAATGTAGGCTACTTAACAATATTAGCATGTGATACTTTTTTGTTGTCTGCATATGAGAGTGTAAATACACTCTGTTCATATTTATATAAGGGCAGTGGGTGTTCTCCAAAACATAGGCTACTCTTAAAACTATACCAAAATAAATAACTAACTTTTAACTAGTCTGTGGATTTTTTCGAGGTGCAATAGGGCATATCATGTGGAATGTAAACAGCACTGGCTACTGATACAATGTCAGCTTAGTGATGTGAAATCAATAGGCCAGACTTAGCATCAGCATTCTAGTGTTTGTTTTAGATGATGAATGAACACACCCTCAAAAACAGTTGCACATATTCATTCACCATATATTCACTTATGCTGCTTATAGTGCTATCAGTTTGTATGTTGTTGTAAATTAGTTCATATATATATATATATATATATATATATATATATATATATATATATATATATATATATATATATATATAATTCACATCCTAAAGGAGACCCCTTTGTTTACAATTATTAATGATTCACATTCACCGGTAGAAATTAAACAAATAAGCAATAAGAAAATAGTTTCGTCACTTGCTAGAAATATAGGGCAGAGGTTTTATAGCCTAACTGACGGAAATCACATATAATCAACACGGAAAAGTTCAACAAAACTTACCACCGTTTAGTTGTCGTTATGGTTATCAGCCCTGCGGCTTCGTTTAAAAATGACGTACAAGAGAATGATGAACGGAACGGATCCGTGCAGATGAGACAACAATCAGGGTACCGCAGTGCACGGCCACGCCTATGAGGGCGGGACTAGCGAATGATTGACAGCTGAGACGTCAAATGTATTACGCATTCTGCGAAGAGCCTTAAAGGGACCGGAAGCGTTTCTTTAATAACTCCCATTCTTCATGTACAAAAACACGAGTTCGTACAGTTTCAAAAGTCTTTAATAATGTTCTTTAGAGAGAAAAAAATGCACACAGTTTAATTACACAGTGGTTTAAGATACTCCCAGTTCAACAATGCTTCCATTTGTAAACGAAAATAGTGTGACAATGTCAAGCACAATAAAAGCATGCCAAATCTGGAAGTAAGACTGGTCAAAAGTGCAATAGACAATTTAAAAAATAAAAGTAAATAACTATCTTTAAAAGTTTAACACTTGAAATATTAATTGAGTGGCGTGGTCCATCTGTTGGCGAGTCATCTAAATCATGGTAAAGTTCAGCCACTAAAAATATAGAACATTTGTTAAAATATATATTTATTTAAATATTTACATTAAAAAAAAATGTGTATGAGTGACAAACCTGCTGAAAGTCCAGCTCAATGAATCCACTTTGGTGGGCATCCAGCTTTTTGAACACCCCTAGAAATGAGAGGCACATTCACATTGATCAGATCAGAGACGTACCTGTACAAAACCTCCAGCACTACAGGAGGCGCTGACCCAACATCAAATTTAGACATACTGTAATTCTAGACAGAATCTGCAGATATTTTCTGCAGATTTTAGGGTCAAATCTGTTAGGCAGAGGCAGAGTAGGCAATTTTTTCAAAAACACTTTTTGTTATCCTTCCGCATGGTTGAATCTCTCTTCACAATCAATAACAAAGTGCTCTAAATAATAAAACATGTACATATTGGTGTGCATAAATAGCCGAATATTCAATCTGTAATTATTGTTAATTTTTTTTTAAACTATTTGAGTTTTGCTTTGCTTGCTTTAAAAGCGGTGACATCATAAGCACACAAACTAAAGGCGTTTTTAGACCGTTTAGACGCATGAACCTGAACCCGAACCCGAGACTACCTGAAGGAGGTGGTTTGAGTTTGATTATCTACCCTACTATAAATCTAAATTTGATTAAATGTGTTCACTCCAAGATAATTGTTAAACGAAAACTAAACGAAACTTACGGAACATCATCTCCAGACGCATGAGGCAGGCCACAAAGTTATCAAAGTCAAGGGTCATGTCTGTCTCAGAGTAACGTGCCACTAGCAGCTGAAATATAGCGTTATTCAGACAGAAACCTAGGAGAGGAAATAAAACACAAGCAATGAATATTAAAATACACCCCCAAAATGAAATTATTGTGTGAGTATCTGAGTGTGGCTTGACTAACCGGCCTCTTTCAGTGCCATACGCAGCTCTGTAGTGCTTATGGTTCCTGAACCATCCATGTCATTCTTTTTGTAAATTCCCTGGGGTGATTTTCAAATAAGACAACATGTTAAAAATAATGTGAAATGGTAAGTCATGTTAAAGGATTGGGGTTTTAGGATCTCTTACAAGGTATTTCTGCACTTTTTTCCACAGAGTAGCAAACTCTCCCAGACCCAGTTTTCCATTCCCACTGTCCTGAGGTACGGTTAAGGGAAAACACATAATTCCTTGTCACGTTAACACAAACATAAAAATATAAGCAGAAGCAGCTTAGAGGATACATCCATGATGTTCACCATGACACGACACGTCTCCATACTGAAGCCGCCTGTCTTTATGTCAGTTCCTACAAAACAACGCACAGCTCCTTAGACTCCTCCTTAAATCACGAGTGTAAACTAAAGGATCTGGGAGTACTTACGTTTTGCGATGATCCTGTTTAAGATAGTCATGAGCTCTGAGGCTGAGATTTCCATGTCCTACCGAGAGAAGATAGCTTCAGTTCTGATTCTGCTTTTCAGAATATATAAATGTTTGCATAAAAAAGTCGTCTCCACTTACAGCTCCAGCGAGTTTTACGAACATGGTTCTGAATCCAGATTCAACTTCAGCGTCTGAGACAGTCTCCTGAAAACAGGAAAAACAGGAAAGTTCCAAGTTCAATACGACTAATCAGCAACATTTGTGTCAAAATGTTGATTACAACCCAAAATATTAATATTGCTTAATGAGGGCTATTGTTTTTAATTCATTGAGTCTTATTATTGTTGTTATTCTTTATTATTGTTACTATTTGATATGAACTATTATTAAATTAAAATGATAATTTACAAGTAATAATTTCTACTATTTATAACTAGAAATAAATGTGACCGGCCGTGGGAAATATTTTAAGAGAAAGTAGCCTGTTTTCATCCATTTGTGCAAATTTTAGGATACTGCATTTTAGGATAGCTACGGCAAGATGCAGATCAAATCTTAAAATGTGAATGAAAAAAATGTATCTACGTATTGAAGCAGATAAAAAAAAATATCCGTAATAATACTACGATGGAAGCACATTTACTGAATAAATTCTTTGATGGGCAACAAAAAACGTGACTCAACAGATCATGTGACTCCCTAGAAGTGACGATTTTGTTCTCATTAACACATGGGATAGAAACGGTGCTTTATTCCCGAATATTTTATGTGGTAGTCCAATTTTCTCGCATGAACTGAATTAGCAACTTTGGAATAAAAGCATAGCTGTTGACTTTTGAGAGCGTCACATTATATTATTTGAGAGCAGTCTGTTGAGTTACTTACATCAGGTAATTCAGCATCCACAGGGTCATCACATATTCTAGGAGAAAACATAAGATATTCCAATCAAATTAATTCAGAACCAAGTATTTCAAATAAAAATACATTCAGTTTGCATATTGGCATTAAAGGCACAGTGTGTAAGTTTTGCCTCTTTGCTTGAGTTCGCTTATTCAGAGAAAAACAAAGGCGCAGCTTGATGACACTGTGAATGTGTGTGGAATCATGGGAATTGTCGTCTTTACCTCCACAGCCAATCAGCAAAAAAAAAAAAAAAGCTGATTTCTCTTGATTTAAACATTATTGGAAACATTAAAATATCGTTCAAATGGTTTGGGGATATTTAAATCCAAGAGCCCTATGCGGCGAAATGCGGCGCCAAGCACGACGCAAGTGTTTTTTTGCTAGTTTCAGCCCGGCGCAGTTATTATTTTCACGTCCCGCGCCACGTTGTTTAACCCTCTGAGACCTAAGGGTATTTTTACAATAAATTTTCCGTCTGGTGTCATTTACTAAAAAAGCTTGTAAAATATCAACCCTTTGGTGCACAGACAATTGACACACCTCTTTTTTTTTCAGGACAAATTGAACTTTCAGCATATTTGTGTTACATTGATGTCACCTGAATGTAAAATAAGTTATGGGACCATAAAGACAAATGAAAAAATAAATCGGAAATGGAATCACTCAATTATTTATTGAAATCACACACAAATAAATAAAATCTAAGCAATTTTCCTCTGGAAAATAGTTTGTTCATGTCTTTGGAGTCCTGGAGCACAGGAATAAACATTATAACTTGTACAGAACAAAAAATATTGACATTTTTCCAAAAGAAGTCCAGGCGTTTGGGGCCTCATGAAATTCACTGGTGCCAAGCCTCAAAACAGTTCCTATCAGCAATCACACAGAGGGCCACATCACAGGTTTTGCATTTCTATTTTATTTATTCTTTTATTTGTTATGTTCTTTTTATTCTTTTATAATACATTTATACTACTATAATACTTTTTTACAGTAAATAAATAAATGGCACTTCAGCTGGGTCTATCCTGGTAATCTAGTTCCTCATCTGTCAAAAAGCTCTGTTCTCCTGAAAATCCTTCATCCTGCAATGCACCAAAATAGACCAGCGCTTTATTTACGTCCATTTCGCTGTGTTTCTCTGTGAATCGCGCGTCTCCGTGAGTCTCTCTATCTCTCTACACTATATCAGCGCTTGGTTCATGCGTAATGACGCACACCAATGTTTACAACGGATCAGCCTGTAATTGGTCAAAAACCATCACGTGAAAACATCACGTGATATCCAGGATGTCCGCTAGCATCAAGCTAGCGGCAAAAATGACAGAATATTTATGAATTATGGGCTTCAAGATTATCAAAGTTTGACATAAAGCGTTTGGATTTATTGCTGAAAACCTCTGAAAGGAAGCACAAGTTCCAGGCTGGATAGAAAACCTTCTGTAAAGGCTAGAAAGACCCGAAAGACACCCCCGTGATGGCTAGCTCGTTAGCTTTCTGCTGGAAAAAACGGTAAGAAAATCGATAAATCTGTCATCGAGTTATGTAAACATTTATCGGAGGTGACGTGTGGCATCGTCGACGACGCCGTCGGGCTCAGGGGGTTAAATAGCAAATGTATTCACGCCCATTTCTGCACCCATGGGCTGCTGGTCTGGAAACGAGGTGTTAAGGCACATTTTTGGCGTGTTGCTATTTTGAGACAACTGAAATAGACTGCACCATTGGCCTGGTCTAAATGGCGCAATATTTATTTTGTTACTAAAGAGCGCGTTAGTAATATGCGCGTATTGGTGGGTGTACACTTTGTCCCGTAGGTTTATTGCACATTACGCCTAAAACACACCCATTACTCATTAAGAAAATAGAGACAACCCTTTTAGACCATGCACCGGGCACGCCAACCATTTTTCCAGACGTTAAACTAGCCAAAGTGGATTCGGACACTCCCTAAGTGCCCTTGCGCATTAAAATAGGGCCCTGAAAATCTTACATGTTGTGCCTTTAAGTATGGAAACCTCACACAGGTGTGATACATGATACATACAGTGTTTCGGTCTGTCTTTCGGAAAAGACGCGCAGGCAAAAGTCTCCGTCCAGGTTGGGTTCGAAGGTGGAAGGCACAACAAGGTATTCTCCTGGAGGCAATTTGAAGCGCGTGCAGACCTCTCTCAAGTTAATAAAAGTCTCAGAGCGAGCTTTCTGTCCGTGCGTCAGGAAGAAGTTCTTATCGAGGTGCACGTCCCGCTGACCCTGAAACTGATGGAGGCAATCAAAAGGCCAATCAGCGAGCCACGAAGGCAGTGACTAATGTGAATTCTCAGATATGATTGGTCAAGGGATAAATCACCACCCCTCTTTGTAGTTTAATGCTTACCTGTGGAGGTACCTGTGGAAACGAAACAAAAAACACATTGATTTGATATTGTTCAAATGTAATCTTGGAGTTCTATTGATGTGTTCCTTTCCTCTCCATCCATCATAATGACAATGTTTAGACTGCTGTTTGTGTCTCCCCCCACCTCATAAATAGCAAAGCCGATGGTGTGCATGTCCTCTCCCATTTTCCTCAGGCGGCGTCGGTTCTTCTGGATCAGACCCACCACGAAACTGCAGTCCGGCTCATTATCGTCTGGATTGTCATCATCCAGCTTAATCACAAACTGAGGATTCATCCAGAATGTGTCTGAGGAATGAATGGATGCAGCCATCAGCAATATTATTAAACAAACCAAACCAACCAAACTTTGTCCATGTGAATCATTTAGTTTGCACTGAAATATGAATCTGATTGATGGTGTGTTTGCATTTCTTTTGTTGCTCACACGCGTTGTTTCTGCAGCCCCCGGCGGTGGAGCCTTTCCTCCAAGTGCCATCGTGGTTAGTCACGGCCCAGTGTTTTACCGAATCGCTGGTGATGGTGTCCGGGGTCAGGGTGCAGATCTCTATACGAGAGTAATGGCTTAGGAATTCGGAGAATGACATCCTAAACAAATAGAGAAAGCATATTATACTTATTTAATACAATGTATGGAACTTTTTTAATACCCTATATTGTAGTTGTAAATGGACGTTAGATTGTAAACGCACCAGAATTCACCATCCTCAGCGTTGGCGTTAGGTCGCTCTGAAGCCGCAACACTGTTCCATTCAGATGAACTAAAGGAAAGAAGAAATAAACATTTCAGATAAGCATCAGCAGTTCAGTGTGTGATGTAGATGTTTTATGATGATGTTTGATGCTATCGTCTCCAAATAAGTTCCAAAGTAATTTAAGTAAAAGTAATTGGCACCCAAATGGACTCCACTTAGAGCCCACTATGGGGCCATCAAAGGCCCACATGGACATGTTGGCTGGGAAAGTTAATTGATGAATCATGATTTGTTTGTGAAAACATTTGCATATAGATTTTACGCACTAATTTTGCAACTGTCAAATTTTTACTCAACAATATGTTTGATTTAATCAAAATCAGTTTCATGATGCGCAATTTCTGTTAATGTTGACAAAGTCAAAAAACACTTCAAACCATTTTCAACAGTCAAGTTTATAGACACTGCACGGTTGCGACCTCATACTTTCTGAATAACTGCTATTTCGGTTACGTTTAATGAATTATATTAGCATAGTGATGAATTTATGTCGTATCTAAGCAATAATCAAAGCGTACCCGTCACTCCAGGCTCCGGTCCACTCCACCTGTCCCCAAGGGTTGCGCATACGGACCAGCTTCTCCTTGCGGCCACGATAGTTTACCTGAAGAAAAATAGCATGTACTCTAATGACAAAATGTAATAATTCTGTCATTAAAAAAGGGTTTGCCAATAACTTTATTCATACCTCTGTCGCCCCTGTGAGCGAGTAGGCGTGGCCTTTCACCAGCTTCTGACGGGTGACGGCTTCTGAATCAGAAGCACTTGTGATCTACATCATAGAAAAAATAATTAAACAGGGATGTCTGACAAAGGTCGACGATCATGACGCAGAAATTATCTCCAAATTCAGGTCAAAGGCTATTAAACTGTCTGTTTACACCGAGATGGTCTTCAGTGCAGAACACAAAATCCATATCCAACTCCTCCCACCTTGCATATACCTAAACATACCCATCTACACCCCCTGATCCCTAACCCCACCCCTAATCCTACCAATCTCCGTCCCCTGATCCCTAAGCCCACCCTTAAACATACCCATCTCCACCACTTATCCCTAACCCCACTTCTAAACCTACCCATCCCCAACCCCTGATTATTAACCCCACCCCTAATCCTACTCATTTCCCCCACTGATCCCAAATCCCACCACTAATCCTACCAATCTCCGCCCCCTTTTCCCTAACCCCACCTCTAATCCTACCAATCTCCGTCCCCTGATCCCTTACCCCACCCTTAAACATACCCATCTCCACCCCTTATCCCTAACCCCACTTCTAAACCTACCCATCCACAACCCCTGATTATTAACCCCACCCCTAATCCTACTCATCTCCGCCCCCTGATCCCAAATCCCATCGCTAATCCTACCCATCTCCGCCCCCTGATCCCAAAACCAACCCTAAACCTACTCATCTCCAACCCCTGATCCCAAATCCCATCACTAATCCTACCCATCTCCACCCCCTGATCCCAAACCCCACCCCTAAACCTACCCATCTCCACCCCCTGATTATTAACCCCACCCCTAATCTTACTAATTTCCGCCCCCTGATCCCAAATCCCACCGCTAAATTAATCCTACCCATCTCCGCCCCCTGAACCCTAATCCCACCCCTAAACCTACCCATCTCCACCTCCTGATCCCAAATCCCACCCCTAATACTACCCATCTCCGCCCCCTGATCCCAAATCCCACCCCTAAACCTACCCATCTCCACCTCCTGATCCCAAATCCCACCCCTAATACTACCCATCTCCGCCCCCTGATCCCAAACCCCACCCCTAAACCTACCCATCTCCGCCCCCTGATCCCAAACCCCACCCCTAAACCTACCCATCTCCACCCCTGATCCCTAATCCCATTCCTCACCCCACCCATCTCCACCCCTTACATCAGGATCCAACTCCGCCCCCTGGATCTCATGTACTGCAATGAGGTGCTACTGTTTACACCTGATTTTAAGTTGTGTTTTGGTCGATCGGATCACAAGTATAGGAGGGAGCCACATTCCCATTTACACCTGCTGTTTTAATCTGTAGCTTTTTCCACTTTTAAACACTTCTGACCTGATTTCTTCAAGGGGAGGGTCTATGGACAGGTTAATGTATGGGTTTTCAGATCTTTCGGTCTAATGGACGCAAATAAGCTTGAGCAAATTACATTTGAACACGCCGAAGATGATAATGAGCAGCTTTCGTTTCTGCTCTGACAGATGCAAGACCGAACGTGGTGAGTGTGTGTTAGAAATCAGGAATGGTGAGAGAACATGGTGTTTGGTATGTTTTTCACTTTCAAACCGAACTTGGACCTCCAGCCGCAGCCGACAAAGTTTAAATCCCGTCTGGCTAGAGCGATTCGATTAATATGTTTAAGCAAAACGTTTTAGACTGTATTTAGCGTCGTCTACTTGTGCTTCGATCAACAAAAACGCATTGTTATACCAGGTGTAAAAAACATGCCTTAGTGTCATTATAATAGTGAAATTTGTTCTGTTAATAGTTATTAGATTTGATGCCCAATAAACTATGAAGTCGAACATACACAGATTTACATAAAACGAGTGTCATGAGTGCAGGCAGAGGAATCTCACATCGATGGAGCAGCCCAGCAAAGCTCCAGAGTCCAGGGCTTTCTGGATGATCTGAAACATGTTGGGCGGCGCTTTACTCAGGTCGTAGTTCTCAGCGATGCCTCCAGTGAAATCCTCAAAACCCTCACTGGTGGATCCTCCAGACAGGGCTTCATAACAGCCGTTCACCCTGCCAGAAACCATAAAAGTCACCGTTAGAGTTATGAAACGACATGTTCGCGCATGTCTTTGGCCTTCGTTTCAGAAACCTAAAAGACAGTCTCGTTAAAAAATAAACTATAGTAAATCCTATTAAACAACATGTTTACTGTAAGCCAATTAAAAAAATTAACATTTTACCACTTTTGGCTTCATCATCCTGAAGTCAATAGTTTTTTTTGTTGTTGTTTTTTTATGGATTTTTGGTTAAATGCCTGAAATAAGGCTGTAGAGATAGACACAAACTCAAGTTATTTTCACGTTTTATTCTACAACATAAAATAGTGAACTGTGTGAATTTTTAAAAGCTTTTTCTTGTCTTGAAAAAGGTAGTTTCTAAAAAGAAGCTAAATGTGACCACAGAGCTTGTCAGAGACATTAAACGTCTTCACGGCAAACAAATTAACTCAGCTAATACGCCTTTACTACCTTGTTATATTTATATGTTAAATGATTCTTAAATAAAGACTGAAAGAGTTGTCGGAAGCTTAGTGATTGTGACGTTGAAGTCAACATTCAACTTTTTATTTCTGCCAATTGTATTTAGGCTTCAAAATTCATAAATTTGAGCTCATTCGTGAAATTTAAAGTGAACAAACGCACAAGAATCATACACTTTTGTTGGTCGCATAGCTTGTTTTCTGCAATAATCCAAAAGACAATGGTAGAATCCTATTGGGTTTTTGTTGACGGAACCAGGATGACTTCAAACTAACGAGTTTGGCTAGAAAAAAAACGTCATCATGGCATAACTCAATTTCATCCCAATTATAAATACTCATGCTTGATATCACCGCTTGTGGACGGGGCCATTCCCATAGTTCACATGGTGGTTCCAAAATTAGTAAGCAATCTTACACACAACGCAACAAACAACAGGTGTTGACATTACGTGTTCAGCTGGCAACCATAAATAGAAATTTCCTCTTGATGGAAATAAATGTTGTGATGTTTCAGTCAAGAGGTGCAGATTTTTTTCTCCCAGAGATTTCATGTGTGAGAATGAATCGTCATGTTCCCTCCCAACTATTCTTTCACAATTTGAGCCTGATAAATCTTGACACTGTCCTTCTGGAATGGCCATGATGTGTCTTCCTACATGGTTGTTTAAGAATTGGGTAACACTTTACTTGAAGGGGTGTGCAGAAGACTGACATGACACATTCATAAACATGACATGACATATGTCTTGAATATGAAGGAAGTTTTATGCATGTTTATGACAGCTGTCATTATCGCTCAATAATGACATTTTGAATGCAAATATGTCATTGTTTAAGATGTCTTTACATAAACCAATACATCATAACCTGTCAGTGTCTTTGTCATGACAACTTGACTAAGACAACCCACACCCTTATTCCAGGAATACACCTGCGGTGGTTAAAGCCTGCTGTGCTTGTATGCAAAGTTCAACAACCACTTTTTAGAGACTAGCCTTTTCGGTTACACTATTTTTTTTGATGATCCACTTTAGACACACTATCAACAAGTAACTTTGCAACTACAAGTCAACAAACTCTCATTAGAGTATTAATAGACTATTAGATAAGGGTTAGGTTTTAAGGTTAAGGTTAGTAGATACAAGTTAACATGTAGTTGCAAAGTTACTTGTAGTCACTAGAATGTCTGAAGTGGAGAATCGTCTATGGTAAACATGTCTAAAAAAAACAATTGTGAGTAATCAAATCTATTGACAACCCTAAGGAAAACACTTGATTATCCTGTTGTTGTTTTCCTAGAAAGCAAGTTCCCCAAATAAGCTGACTTTCTGGTTTAGACGGTTCTAACTGCAATATGTAATGCCAAAAACACAAGAAACAACATGCGCAAACACTAACTTCGCATAGGCCTTCTCCAGCAGGGCGCTCCAAAATTCATTTCCCTCGGCGGAGTGAACAAACACCAGCGCACCGTCTTTCACTGGCAGCCGATCGTCAATGACAACATCCACCCATTCACCAAACTGCCAGAACTGAAGGACAAAGGTACAAGGTGCAGTCTCAGATTTATCTGTTCGATCTCAAGATGTGTGTTAAACTGTAAAGACACCCATATACAAACTTAAGAGTCTAACTCTGCATTAAAGGCAATAAGAAAATGCACCAAAAGCCAGTATGTATATACCATACTTTACCATACTTTTGTGTTACCATGTTTTTTTAGTCATTTAAAATTGTATTACAACATGCACTACCATTTAAACATTCATCAAGGCTCAGTTATAGGAAAGAAAAGATGTTATATGCAACATTTTTTACAATATAACATTTATTTAAAATAACTGCTTTCTACTAGAATGTATTTTAAAATGTAATTAATTCCTGTGATGTCAAAGCTGAATTTTCATCATGATCCTTCAGAAATCATTCTAATATGATGATTTGGTGAATCATTTATGTTGAAAACAGTCATATTTTTATGGAATCTGAGATAAAAAGGATTCATTGATGAATAGAAAGTTCAAAAGAACAGATATTAAAATAAATATATATTATTATTATTATTATTACTACTATATAAATATAATATTAAAGGAGTAGTTCACTTTTAAAAAAAAACTTTTGCTGATAATTTTCTCACCCTCATGTCATCCAAGATGTCCATGTCTTTCTTTCTTCAGTCGAAAAGAAATTAAGGTTTTTGATAAAAACATTCCAGGATTTTTCTCCATATAATGGACTTCAATGGGAACCAAACGGTTCAAGGTCCAAATGAGAGTTTCAGTGCAGTTTCAAAGGGCTTTAAACGACACCAGACGATGAATAAGGGTCTTATCTAGAGAAACGATCGCTCATTTAAAAAATAAATAAAAAAGTTTAAGTTTCATAAGCACAAATGAGCATTCGTGACTCTCCTGTTCAAACTCGTTCATCAAAATGAACAAATCTTTTTTCAAGTCATGACTCAAAGGGTCCTAGATAAGACCCTTATTCATCGTCTGGAATCGTGGAACAGTTTGTAGTTTGCACTGAAACTCTCATTTGGACCTTGAACCGTTCGGTTCCCATTGAAGTCCATTATATGGAAAAAATCCTGGAATGTTTTCATCAAAAACCTTAATTTCTTTTCGACTGAAGAAAGAAAGACGTGGACATCTTGGATGACATGGGGGTGAGTAAATTATCAGCAAAAGTTTTACTCCTTTAACATGTTTTTTTAGCCTAACTTGTTACTATGTTACTATGTGTAGACCATTTTGCGAGATGTAAACAACACTGGACCAGAAGCACTTCCTGTTTCAGTTTTTTAATAAAATACAACCAACAGAACATTTAAAACTGAATCAAAAAGTTAATCACACAGCTTTAAGATGTTTTCTTTACATCTGAAATAAAGAAACCATTTACAAACTGTAAACAGGAAGTGTTTCTGGAAAAGTGTTGTTTACATCTTGCAAAATGGTAGCTATTATCATGTTTACTCGGGCATGGTAAAAAAGCTTGTTTCCGCCACAGATTAAAAAACGAAAAAATACTTTTTTTCTCAAAATTGCTTAATATAAACTCGCAATTGTGAGTTATAAAGTCAGAATTGTGAGATATAAACACCCCCCCCCCCCCCCCCCTATATCTCAAAATTCTTGGAAAAGTTTCAAGACATAAACCCTTTATGTCAAATTTCAGAATTGCGAGACATTAACTCGCAACTAGAAAAAAAAGGTCACAATCATCTCGTCATTTTGTTTATTCCATGGCGAAAACAAGCCTCCATGTTTCTTGAGTAGCACATAAACATAATGGTAAATGAATATTGTTTCCATGATATACTGTATATAAGTGTAATATAAGTGTGATATAAATCACTATCATATAATATACATATTGTGCATTAGCATGCTAATGATTTTATATTCTAACATGAACACCAATGTACAGTGGCACACTTGGGGAAACTGCAGATACCTGGAAATGGAAGATTCCAGCATAACTGTCATCAAAGTTCTGTCCGCCGGGCACCACTCGGGCCAGAACGTCTTCGTTCAGAGTCAGGGATGCGATAGCCGCTAGCAGCCAGCAGTCACCTGAGAGACAGGAAGTGAGACTTTTACTGTGTGTTTACACAGCTCTGCTGTCTGGAGTTTAAACATGCCACAGAGAGGCCTGGATTCACTTACTCAGTATTTTATAGATATAGAACATGATTTGCATTTGAAATGCAACTTCAAATGCCTTCAGACAAACAAGTACAGACACATTTTGAGGTGCTCAAGCTCGTGATCTAATTGGAGAAGCTATTGTGGTTTTCATGTCACGCAAGTGGTTAGCTGCCAGTCTAGCAGATGCATGCAGAAAATGCAGAGACTTGAATCCGCTCTCTCCTAAACACAATGGGCTGCTTTTCCTGCAGTCTGACACATGTATCACATTAAGACTTTATAGGATAAATACAGCCAGGTTTTCCTCTCTTTAACTGCAACCTTTAATAACTGTTCGAAATCCCTCTGGCTAGTTTCTACATTCGGGTGGTTTGCATTATGTGTTTGGCTCGGATATTCAGTCATGGTAAACAGGAAGGATTGAGGCAAAAGAAAGTATAGAAGGGGATAGTGATGCTACTAAAGTTAGCAGTGTGAAGCTAAATATGTTATTTTAGGATTGTTTATATACTGTTATGGTGACACTTATATAACACAATATGGTTTCATTAGTTAATATTAGTTAGCTAGTTAACACGAACTAAGTTAATGTTAATTTCAACATGAACTAATACTATATTCAAATCAAAAAATGTATTTGTTAACATTAGTTAATGCACTGTGAACAACTAACATGAACAAACGATGAACAGCTACTATATTTTTTATTAACTAACATTAACAAAGATTAATAAACACTGTAACAAATGTATTGCTCACTGTAAGTTAATACATTAACTAATGTTAACAAATTAAACATTATTGTAAATTGTTAGCGTATTTATTTAATATTTAAAATAATATTTAAAATGATTTAATATTTAAAATATTTTCATTTTATGTTTTTATTTTCATGAAGTTTTAGTCATTTTGTTGTGCTTTTGACATTTATTTTTTAGCTTTAATGTATTATTTACTTATTTTATTATTTACTTATTTTAGTGTTATTAAATTAAATTTAATTTAATATTTTATTTAATTATTTATTATTTAATTATTATTTATTAAATTAATTATTAAAGTTAATTTACTCAACTTTCTTTTCTTTAGGTTAGTTATGAAGGCAACATTTCTTATATTCTTTTAAGTTTTTTATGTAATTATTATTATTATTATTATTTTGCATCTAATATTTGTATTTTATTTTATTTCAGCTTTATTTCAGTTTGTGAAACCAAGTCTTAGTTAAAAATAATAACAATGGTATGATCTCTAGGTTAAAAGCATTCTTCAAATACTCAAATACTGACCCACCCTAGTAGTGTGTGTGAGTGTCTGCTTGTCAAGTTCACAATTCACCTTTGTAGAATTAACTTGATTCACAGGAGTAACAAGCATTGGGTGTTACGCAATCAAACTTTTTCAAAAAATGAGTAAAGTGAGGGGCTGTTTACACGACACTGTTTTCAACTAAAAATGGTGTACAATGTTGGGGAAAGTTACTTTTAAAGGAAATGATATCATGTTACCTAAAAAAGTAACTAAATGCATACTTTTTATGGAAACTGTTTTAATTCATTTTGAGGAATACTGACTCAGTTTTTGTGCAAGTGAGATGAGTAAATGCAACAAAAAAGTAACTTGCGTTACTTATTTTAAAACTAATTATTTGCTTTACTAGTTACTTGGAAAAAAAGTAATCTGATTACGTAACACGTTACTTGTAAAGCGTTACCCCAACCCCAAAAAGTAGCACAAATGTAACTTATTTTTAACTTTACATTGTAAGTAATAGTGTAAATAATTTGTTACCTTTTATAATGAATCACGCAGCACATTTTAGGTTGCCTTTTTATACGGTGTAGAATGAGCAATGCTGAATTACTGGTTGAGGTAGGCTACTTAAAAACGTTTAATATGCATTTGACTTGCAGGTATCAGATGAGAAGTGCCTCAGTATTGCTGACCTAAAGGCACGGTCTGTATTGAAAAGGTTCTTGACATTTAGACAAACATGGAGGATTAGCACACAAAATCTAAAAATGAATTTTCCTTTTACCCAAAGCTCCTTGACAGATATCCGTCCGTGTCGCTCCACCGACGATGAACTGTGGTTTCGAGCACAGCTCCTGCAAAAAACACCAACAACAGCCATATTTGAAACGCAAGATCATAGCATGCAATCAATATTATGTAATATAGCATAACAATTTTTGCAATAATTAATTATATTGTAATCAAAGTGAAAAGGAGGGCATATAGACACAAAACAGTAAGATTGTATTTACATTTCACATTGGGGTCCATACCAAGACAACAAATTAACATAATGCATTGTGGGATTTATATTGGTCTGGCCATAGAAGTTATAAAATATGAGTATGGCCTATTTTTTAACATGGCTTTCAATTGTGTTTAACAAGAAAAGTTAATCAAATGTTTGAGAACCATAGCAAACAGTCATTATCAGACGTGCCACGGGCAAAACATTTAGGCTACTGCTACATAACACAAATATGACAACAACAACAACAACAACAACAACAAAGGGTATTTTGTGAAAAGATGTTTAAGACTTTTGGCACTAAGCGATGGGCTTGCTATAACATTAAAGTGTATCCGTGTGTTCTCAAAGCGTTCGCACAATAACTGGACGTTTTTAACGCCCAGGGAACAGATAACGTTTTTTTTTTTTTTTTTGGTTTTACTTCAAATTAATATTAGCGAAACGTTCTGAGAAAACAGTTTTGTTAGCTGGGTAGTAGGCTATAATCCCCACAATGGTGTCCAGTTGACAGAACTGTTTTGGTACGCTTAAAAACGCAACGCTGATGACGCGCCCCTAAAAAAATCGAGACGCAACAGCCAAGACGTCAGTCTGATGCACATAGCTATTATTAAACACATACTTTACATAAATGGAACTCAGAATTTTGGAAATGCATGGAATTCCCGTATAACCAAGAACGCACAAACAATGCCCTCCATATTAAAACTTATTCTTAAGTCATACCCCGGGTCTTTTCCATACTATTCCTCTGGTTTTGGACGTGTTGGGTCCGAGTTCTTTAAAGCCCAGGGATTCGGGTGCGGCTGGGAAAGTCGGGTCTGAGAACAGGGTCCCTCTGCCGAGACACTGGCTCCTGAGCGCCTCAAAGTCCTGGTTGAGGTATTTAGTGGCATTGGCGTTCGTTCCAAACCCTGCAGCCTGCGCTCTCTTTTTGGCCAGGGTAGAGGCGACTCCCGACATTTTCCACTTCTGAAGAACCAAAAAAAATCTGAGAAATGTGCAACTGTCTTTATGCTTCAACTTAGATTACTGTGACTCTCCGCCCCAAACTTTCTAGGAGTGGTCATCAGACTGTCATAAGCGATGTTATTGCGCGTTTTTACGCACACAGTGAAGAACAGGAAGAGTGAACATAAATACACTGATAGCTGAGCTACTGTATCGGTGCGATAACAGTGACCAATCTTATCTGAACGATCAAGAATTATTACTGCTGTAGCAATTTAGTATTATAGCTACTAACCACAGTATAAAAAAACTATTTAGGCAACGTTTCAAATGTTATTGTTTAGCCTACATAAAATAACCTACTTATATTTTTCAATGGCACTGCGACGAAGCGCCGATATAATATTATTGAAGGATTTTTGAGTTTAATTAAGTTAATTGTGCGACTATAACTTACATTTGTTCATACATGTTCATTCTGATATTTTCTAGGCAACATAACGGTGGAGAGACAAGCTTTATACTCGATTAGCTGTACAACAGCGCAACCTATCGGATATTAAAGGTGGTGCAGCCAGATCGTTGATTTATGCACAATTAGACGAGTCTAACGCTGGAGGTGGAGCTAGACATCACCTGTCTCTGCAGTGAGCGCGTTTTTTTCCAGTAGCACCTCAATGCAGAACATGAGATCCACGGGGAGGAGTCGGATCACGATCCAAGGGGTGGAGATGGGTAGGATTAGGGGTGGGTTTAGGGATCAGGGGGCGGAGTTGGTTAGGTTTAGGTGTATGTAAGGTGGGAGGAGTTGGATCTGGATCTGACTCCTCCCCATGGATTTCATGTTCCGCAGTGAGGACCATCTCGTTTTTTCTGGCAGCCGCAATCCCAACAAGGAAACGAAATTAGACGGCGGCAACATTTTATCTATGTGGGAGAGGATTGGCCCCGTCCCAGATAGCACAAGTCTATTTGATGTAGGCTAATGTTTACATCTGGAAGACGTATTTTTAAGAGTGTTTGCTCGTCTGCAATACGTCTATGTTTCCTGTCAGATGTCAAATAGACGTTTAGAAGATGTAATTTTAACATGCATTCTAAATCATTACATCTTAAAGACATCTTCTAAACGTACATCTGACAGGAAACAGACGGAATGGAGATGAGCAAATACTCTTAAAAATACGTCTTCCAGATGTAAACATTACATCAAATAGATTTGTGCTATCCAGCTGGCATTTTAACGTCGAGTCACTGTTGAATCAACGCAGGTGCCAGTTGGATAACCATTGAATTTTGATGTTGTTGCCTACTATAATGTTGATTTGACGTACAACTCAAAAATTGCTGATATTTCTATGTTGACTCCATAGTGAGTTAACAACACCACTTCAACTATTTGGTGTTCCACATTGTTTTGACATTGAATTCATATTTTTTTTCATAAACTGACATTATATCAACAACATTTAAACGTTTAATGTCAGTCGAATGTTAGCTGGGGTAATTCCATGAGGACAAATCTTGTTTCCTGCTCTCTCAATCCACAAATTAAGGTCAATATAGAAACGGTTTGGCTAGTTGTTCATCTATTAAATTATTAATCTTTACACTGTAAAAAAAAAAAATATTGATGGTTTAACTTAAAAAAGTAAGTAACCTGGTTGCCTTAAAATTTTAAGTTCATTGAACTGGAAAAAGTGAGTTAATACAATGAAGGAGAATGATTTAATCATCAGAAACTCAAAATTATAAGTTATCTGAACTAAATAAATTATTTAAGTTGATTTGACAAAAGAAAAAATGTTGTGATTACTACACTGTAAAAAAATATTGTTGGTTTAACTTAAAAAGTAAGTAACCTGGGTTGCCTTAAAATTTTAAGTTTAAGTGAACTGGAAAAAGTGAGTTAATACAATGAAGGAGATTCATTTCATCATCAGAAACTCAAAATAAGAAGTTACCTCAACTAAATAAATTATTATAAAGTTGATTTGACAAAAGAAAATATGTTGTGATAACAAATCTTGAAAATATTTTTTTTACAGTGTATTTAACTGGAAGTAGAAGCTGTTAAGAAGGACTAACTCTACATGCCTGTGGTTTAACTTTAAATGTTTCACAAATCATATAGGTCTCCCAAAGAACAAAAAAAAAGAAAAACAAACAAACAATAGAAACAGAAGAGGTCTGAATTTAGTGTATTAGGTCACACTATACAAGACTCATGTTACAGTGCAATTACATTGGTAAGTATTGAAATGAATAAAAGCGTCTGAAGTTAATGAAAAGCATGTACTTGTTAAACAATGTTCTTCACAGGGTTATATGATGCTAAACCAGTATGAAAGCAACACCTGCTGCCACCCGCTGACAGGTGAGTGTGACTCCGCCCATGTTCACCATAGAGCCACTCTCACATTAAAACCAGCATCAGTCTCACACAAACACTCACACTCTCGGCAAGCTTCAGACACACCAGAGGACGACTACAGGGCAGCATGTCTAATATTGCAAAGGTTCTTTCTAGGAGGCAGGACAGAGGAGAAGGAGTGGGAACAAATGAGAATGCGGTTCCCTTCAATAAGCAGGACTATGAGAGCCTGAAGCGGGAATGTCTGGCGAAAAAAACCCTGTTCTGTGACCCGACCTTCCCTGCTGAATCCGACTCTTTGGGATACAACGAACTTGGGCGGTACTCCTTCAAGACCAAAGGAGTGGAGTGGAAAAGACCAAAGGTACAGTAATGTCCTCTGTGTGTGCATGTGCTTCAGATAAACCACACAATGTCTCACAGATAGGCTATAGAATTATGTTTTTTGAAAATGTAAAAATGCAGCAAGTTTTCTGTGATGGGTTGGATTAGGGGATCGAATTTACAGTCAAAAATCATTATGTCGATGCAAAGTCATGCGTGTGTGCTTTCTTTGCACAGGTGGAGTTTAGGTAAATAAAGGCTTGTTTTGTGATCTTTGTTTTGTATAATCTTTTTTTATAGAATCTTAAAAAATACTTTGTTACTTAATAAAAAGAAAAGAAATATTAGAGTAAATACTTTATACTTTTAAATGTTTTATAGAATATTTTTTATTGAATATTAAAAAATACTTTTTACCTATTACTTAATAAAAAGAAAAAATAGAAGAGTAAAATATTAATATCAATTTTAATAATATTATTAGTCATACTTGTGTGTTATAATTTGAATTACAATTTTTTTTCAAGTCTTTAAGGTGATATTTCCACTCACAAGGAATGATGGGAGGAGTTTTAGTAATTAATAATAGGTACTATTAAATAAAATCATTTAAAAAAAATGGTGAAACCAAAGTGAAACAAAAATTCCAATAACTTCAAGTAAAATGTTCATTGCACTTTTTAAACCACTTTTTATTGAATTAGGCCTACTAAATCAAGCTGAAATTCAAGAGAAGAAATGACAAACATTTAAAAAAAAAACAATTTAGAAAAGAAAAAACATATAGGTCTATATTATGTTAAATTAAAGTAATAAATATACAAATACTTAATAAAAAGAAAAATGTTTAAAGGACAAGGTGAAACATTTTTACAGCTTATCTGATTTGCAAAACATGTATTATTCTGTAGGTGTGCATGCATACGCTTACTATGGTAACCAACCGACAGCAGCTCAGGTTTCTCTTCAGGTGTGTGTGTGTGTGTGTTGATACTTACAACAAGCATACTCTCTGCACATCGGTTTGCATTGTTATAAAAAGAAACACTTTTATCAGTAGTTTTTTTTTTCTTTTATGAGTACAGTAGCAACCACACAATTGATCAACTGATCCTTTTTAAGGAACTGTTTGCTAAGAGCAAATAAAACATATTGTTACTCAAATGTACCATTGCAAAACGTAATAATGTGTAATTATGGTCAAATTTCCCGTTTTTAAAGGAGCTGTGCTCAAACCCCGAGTTCATTGTGGACGGCGCCAAGCGGACAGACATCTGCCAGGGAGCTTTAGGTAAGAAAAGATCCTTTTGGTCACAATAGTGTTCGGGTGTGGCCTGTGGAGAAATACAATGAATCATTTAGGATTCTCACCAACATAGAGGTCATTAGACATTATTACTGAAGTGCAGCAACAGCAAACATGATGCATAAGGAATTTCAGGATCGGTTTAATTGTTTATTATGATATCAAATGAGGTATTTAGTTACCTGTATGGTGTGTCCGCTTTATGTTGACTTGAGAACATTGTCCTCCACCCCAAACTCACACAGACTCGTATTGTGTGGGGCTAACCACCATGACACAACGAATATAAACTGTTTAGCTGCGGCTTCACAAATATTCAAAACTCTTAATATGATAAATTAACACCATAGAGCCATTTTGTTTGTTCAAACAAAAAGAGACTGTATTGTACGGAGCCTCCAAGAGGAAGTAGTCATGGAATAAATATGAGATGGGAATTGTTTTTTTATTTCAATGCATTTTTCGTTCCCCCAAGAAATTCCCCAGCAAATGCAAAGTTATACAGGGAATGTGATATTTTTTCCAAGAGAACACAAAAGGAGCCTTTAAAGGGACATGGTGGTAGAAAAAAATATGTGTCGGAAAGAAAAAAAGTAGCATATGTCAATGCTTTTGCATTCCCCCAAGGTTCACGTTCGCAAAGAGCTCACAAGTTTTGCTAGCAAATGCAGTTTCTCAGGGGAACGCAAACTTATGCAAAAGCATTGACATATATTTGACACCTCCCGTATTTTTGTTGTTTTTTTGTTTTTTTTTGCAAGAGAACGCAAAAGTTATGCAAGAGAATGAAAAGTTTCTCTGGAGAACGCAATTTATTTTGCAAGAGAACGCAAAAGACGTGTGAGCAAATTAAAAGTTTCTCTGGGGACGCAATTTCTTTTCTCCAAGAGAACGCAAAAGGTTTGCGAGCGGAGAATGCAATTTGTTTTGCAAAAGAACTCAAAACTTGGGTGAAAAGTTTCTTGGGGAAACTTAAAATCTGCAACATAATGCTAAAGTTTTGCGAGCGAATGCAAAAGCACTAAAATATGGAGAATGGATGTGGGATGAAATACATGCTCAAGTGTTAGTTGTAAGTAGTTAACAGGTAACTAAACCCCTGGTCAGAGCCTGAC